TGGCATGGCAAAAGGAAATTAAGAGCATCAGTGGAGAAGAGTAGCTAGTGGAGAACTGAAAAGTTTGGAAGGGAGAAAGAGGGAGGAGAAGAAGAAAGGGGGAAAGAACAGATAAAAAAACCTATCCTGGAAACCTAAAAGAAACTTTTGGGAGAACAGGGAAAAAATAACTTCTTTGTCTGAACCCAAATTTGTAGCTGTAGCTAAATCACAGTGAGATGGCAGATGCAACTTGTTTGGACAGCTGATGGCTGATCAGTGCTTAAAATCAAATGAGTGATGTGCCTAGTTTTTGAGGGATGGTATAAATAAGTAAAATAGTTTTTACCTCAAAGTACTAGTAACTTGTGTAGACAAAATAGACACATAGGAGAGGAAAAAGCTATGTACTTTATATAGAAGCAAGGTGCAGGGAAGCTGATGTCCTCAAATAATATGCATCATGTACCAGTAAAGTATGAAGGAGTGAAAGGTAGTGTTCCAGTAGATTTTTGCCCTCTCTTACTTGTAGGCCTCTTAGCAGCTAACTGCAAACCCCTGCTTTTATCTTCTCTGAAGCTGATTACATGGACTTTGGGTTTTTATTGAAGTTTAGGTGACTTGCAATACTCCACGTGGCTACATCATCTTTTATCATTCTGCCTTGCTGTTGATGGGCAGCCTATGCCGGCCCTCACCCAGGATTACCAGGGACAGCAAGACTAAAGTCTCTCCTCTTTCTGTATTTTGAAATAAAGGGGGTGGTCCTCTCATAGGTCTCACTGGGCACTTGGTGCTGGGAAAAGGGCAAGATGGTTTGTCTGCAGGCAGAATCACAGGGCTGTGTGTCCCCAAGGAATGATCTAACCTGCTTACCCTAAGACAGGGTCAGCCAAGTCTTTGTCATTTCTGGGAGCAGCTAGCATCTCTTTATATAGTACATATAGATACATGTTCTCATTCTAATAAAAAGATACAATATGTATCATATATTGTATATATATATATATAAAAATATATTCTATTCATGTGCTTTTCTTTGTCAGAAAGGTTTTCTCACTGTCTTGGTAAAGTCTTTCTTTTTGCAATTTGGAAATACATTCATTTTCTCATTCGATCTTCCTTCTGAACAATTGAAGACTGTTACCTTGTCTCCCTTCAGTTTCCTTTTGTTTATATTAGATACTTAATTCTATTCTTCTCTGAATATCTTCCGACTTGTCTACATATCTCATGCAGTAGTGAAATTTGACCAAAATGTTCCTGCTGACATCCCAGTAATGGTGAGTATAGCAGAAGGCTTTCCTCACAGACCTCCCTTGCTGGCTGTCTGTTGCAGCACATTTGCTTTTTTTTGCAAGTGTGTGATATTGTTGATGCTTATCTAGCTTATTGTGTGCTGTAACCTCTAGCTCTCTTCCACAGAACTTCTGCTTAACTGGGAGAGTGCAAGTTGGGTGGTTGATGAAAGATAGAAACCTGCTTGTAAGGCTAGCATGGGATAATGAAATAGAAAAAGGAATGACAATGGCTTAGAGGAAAACTACTTGATTAAGGAAACTGTAAAAATATTTTGCTGGAAAAAAAGGACAAAACGTGGAATATTTTTTCCACAGTCACTAAAACAGATGCCAAAAGGATTTTGGCATAAAATGTGCTGAAGTTCAGTTTGGGTATCAAGGTTATAAAGTGTTTGAGGCTAGGAGATTGCCAAAGAAATGTTTTGCTTGTATATGCAAGACAGTATTCTTAATAGTATTAGTGCCAACATTTGCCTGCTTGCCCTGGTGCGTGCTGAAGTCTGTCACTTTGCAGCCCAAGTTGCTTTTCTGTGTTACCTTTTCATATTCCATGTGGAAAAAATTTCAGTTCAAGTGATCTTTGTATAAACAGTTAGATAAATTCAGTTGGGTTTTTGTGTATGCATGTTCTTGTAACAATAGTAATTTTGTACATTTCAAGAAATGGTACTTTAGACTTTTGTGGGGGCTTTTTATCCCACATATTGAATGGTACAGTTGCTTGTCTGATGTCGGGAGTGGGCACCTATGCAGAGCAAGTTCTGTGATGCTTTTGGTTATTTAGAATGTGCTACACATGCACAGCAAGTTTTTGATTTCTGAAAAGAGGGGAAATCCTCACTCATTGAAACAATTTGTCTTCTAGATTGGACAAAAAACCATGGGTCTTTGTAGTGGGCTAAAATCCTGCAGAATTTCAGCACTGTTTTTTTTCCAGTAATCCTAAGATTGTTTGTTCAGCTGCTTTTATTCAGTGTAGCACTTAATATGAGTATTTATAAAAAAAAGAGGCGGTTAGAGCGTGGAACCTTCTTTTTCTTAAGTTCTTTGACATATACTTGTTGCTTCAAACCCCTTTCCACATTCACATTGTTGATTTTGTGTGCGTGCAAAGGAGTATGCTTGAGCACTCTCAGGAGGGATGTCAGCAGTTTGTACTGTACTCCTGAGTCAGCAGAAGTTGCTGGAAAAAGGACAGAAGTGTAGTAACTGCTGTGGCGAATGCCGTGCTTTGCGTTATGTTGTCTGATCCCGATTATGGGTCTTAAGCCCCTACTGACAGGCGCAATCCCCTTGTTTATGGATCTGTTTCTAAATGCGTTCTTTCGGAGAGTCACACAGCTATGACTGAACCCTGGTTCATTTCAACATTTCCTCATTAGCCTGAAGGGAGCTCTCTAAAACCTGCTACCCCATGCTGCTTCCATCCTCAGCATGAAAGGGGATGGTCTCACAGAGCTGTGCACGAACCATGGGCTGGGATGAATTTGGGAGCAGGAGAGAAGGGTGCTCCATGGTGGCCGCAAAACCATGTCGTTAAATATTGGCTATATTCTTTCATAATTTCTGATCCAACTATTACCGACTTGGCCAAGGACTGGATTGCAATCATATGGGAATGTGGGAGCTTTATTTCTCCTTAGGTCTCTCACCTTAGGTTATTTTGAACCAGAAGAGCAAAAACTGAATTGAAATATATTGTTTAATGTAACATATTTTTTCCACCTATGCTACAGTCTGTGTTAGGGGGTTGGGGTTGCTTTTTTGTTTTTGTTTGGGTTTTTTTATTTATTTATTTTTAAACTAACCAGCTGAATCCACAAAAGAGTGCACTTAGTAACACTACTATGCTTCTGTCCTTGAGCATATGCACTGCTACAAAGGGACAACTACCTGTAGAATTGACCTGTGTTTCATCTTTCAAGGCTCACACGTTGGTGACTCCCTTATTTGTTGTTTAGGATGTTCTGTGATCTGTGATAAAATTTTAGTTGCACAGTTTACAGAAATGACGAGAAACTGCTGTTTCCGTGTTATTTTGTTCTAAATAACTCAAAAAGATGCTTATACAAAGCTATGGGCGCTCTACTGCATAACTAATACTACAATAAAACCATGGCATTTAAATAAATAGCGTTAATATAAAGCATTAAAATACGTAGTTGAAAAGGAGCCCTGCCTGTCTGCTACGTACAGACAAAATTCTGTCCTACCTTTTTATTGCTCTGGAAATGTAGATCCAGGCCTCTCCACCAACAGTTAAAAATAGATAGCTTTTGCTAAAGTCCCTCAGTTGAAATTTAAGGAAGGGTAAAAAGAGCGAGAGCAAAGAGCCAATATGCCCCTGGAGAGTGGATGCAAGGGGAAATCAAATTTTTCTTTCAGGAAGGCGGGATCTGTATCTCTTGGTTTTTGTAAAGGTACAGTAGGGTTTGAGCCATGGGTGGATCCAAGTGCAATAAAACAAATTTTGGGGTCACCCTGGTGAGTTACACAGCCACCAGCTTTTCCTGAATTTTTTGTAAAAGAACCCAAATCGCGCTCCTGATTGTGGCTGAATTGTGATTTTTTTTTTTTGATTGGTACACAAAATACTTTTGATGCTGGAATTTAAGTTGGACGTTAACAATGACTCCTTTGTGTAGCAGTCCCTTTTGAAGTAGAGAGTTCTGTATCTACAAGAAAACAGTATGCAGAGAAATAAATTCTGCTTTCAAGTTTGTATTTTATATATATATGTCTTATGCATCTTTTTTACACAATGTATGCTAACATGAATATTTACATATGAAAAGGAAATAGGATTTTAAACTATTCCATTGAATATGTAAGTATCCCTGTCCTTGTTTGATGTTTTTTTCTTCAAATAATCAGCAGAGAACTTTAAGCCTTTGGCATTTCACTCCCATCTTACACTAGTTTTCAGTAATTTTTTCTTGAGTGCTGATACTTGGTTCTATCGTAGCTATTTGATACTAAAGTTTCTCGGAAAGCTTTCATATCCATATTCACTGCTCAGAAACTGCCTCTCTGCTTTTTTGAGGTCCCCATCTTAATTTCTATGGCAACATTTCCTAAACCATTTCACATATTAATTTCTTGTTTTGGATAGAAAACCAGTGGTGTTCTCAGCTGTGGTTGAAAGCCCCAGTGTGATATCCAGCAGCTCCATGGCAGGGCTGTGACCTGATGAGAAGCTCTTCCCCTGATGGTCTGAGATCATCAGTAATGGTGATGGTTGCCTCTCCTGAACCCAGTTTATCACCGAGCACAAGGGAACCACCCAGGCGCTATAAACACAGCCGCCTCTGGCCCATCCCAGGCTGCATTGCCTCGTGTCATGCAGTGCTGTTGTTGGTTATTAAAGGCATCTATGCCCTCATGTTGGCAGCCTACTAGACTATCTTCTTCCAGCTGAGCCTCAAGGCTTATTCCATCAGAGCTCAAGAGAGATGTGCCTGCCTTAGCTGTGTGCTGATGCTGTCAGTCAGATGGGTTGATATGGAGTAACAGGCCACTCTTGATCATGTACGGTGTGCCTGATTTAAGGGCCCCGATAGATCCTAGTTCAGAAGAGTGATGTGTGTGGCTGCCACTGGGCAACGCGATTGAAACCGCACCCTGAGGACAGTGAGAAGAGTGCTGTTTGCGAGTTGCCCACAGTTGGAGCCGTGACAATGATACACCAAGAACTTGTAATGAATCTTATGAGTCATTCCATTGCTGTTTGACATCTCTGTTTCCTTTAACTTAGGGCTCAGAGGGAGCCCAGAGACTCCTTCCTTCTTCACTTTCATGAGGAACACACCTCTGTGTGGTCTGGGCAGGCAAGGCACTTGTTGTAGAGAAGAACCTTGATTTGGAACACCACACAGAAATCCATCCTGGAGAACCAGCATTAGCAGAGAGTGAACACCCATTCTGTTGTCATCTTCCAAGAAGTAACTGCAAAGTTGTGTCATAAATACTTGCGTCTCTGATCGTCACTGCAGAACACGCTGTGTAACAGACGGCCTTGCTTAGAGGTCTGTATCTTAGAGATTGCACTGAGTCATATGGTTGATTATCTAAATGTAAATAATAATTAAGACATGTTAAAATTTGAATTTCATTAGGTGGAGGCTTTTAGACTTAAGCAAATGAATTAATTTTTTCATAAAACACTGTAACATGCTTACTAGCTTTGACAAAGAGTTTTTTCCCTTGATACAGAGATAGCAGATAATAATAAGCAGACAAGGTTATGCAACAAGGGGATATTTTAATCATCTTTGTTTTGGAAAAGACAGGCCAGAGTGAGGTACCTCTTAGAAACAATCTACTTCACTGATACTTTTCTTCAACAGATTGACAGCATCTCAGAAAAGAAAATAACTGTTTGCTATTCCTATTGTAGGCTTCTTTCAATCACTGCGACAGATGTTCCAAGCATGTTGTTCCTCAGTTAGGTTTCTTTAGTAGTAAAAATACTGCGGTCTAAATATAGTTTAAATTGGTTGAGGTACCTTGTTTGAATATGATTCAAAATTGCATTATACCTAGTTTAAATCATAGTGTAACAGGACAAAACCACTGGAAAGACTAGTTAAGATTGTTTCAAACTCAGGTAGGACTTTTTATTCAATCATATTTAAAGTGGTTCCAAAGTGCTATGTTTTTCTAACATATCTTGCAATCTGACTTAGGATAAACACTAGATAGCATAGTGAACTCCCCTCCCCCTGTTCATTATTTGGAATTACCTTGGCTAAAAATGGAAAAGGTACTTAAATAATTCTCTTTTCCTGTATCTGCCATGATTTCTTGTAACAGCTGTATATTGGGAATACTCAGATTTTATTATCTTTTTTTTTTTCAATAAAACGAAGTTTAGCATTCAGGAACAGTTGAAATGGCTGGATTAAGAGGGAAAACCAATACACATGTACAATGTACCCATTATTCCTTTGGAGAATTGGGAGTTGAGAAGGCTATGGCCCTTATGACCCCCCTTTCCTCTGCCAGGGAGTTCCATTTCAAAGCTGTTCTGTCATCTCTCCTGCTGACTTGCTTCTGGAGGCCACTGGGAGACCTAACAGGATAGTGCAGGCTGAGTTCTGCTGAATGTGTTGGTGTTAAATAGCTCCTCCTTTTTACTCTCCCCCTCATTTTTTATCTAGATGACTGGTTGTTGCTCATGAGACCCACTTTTGGAGACCACTGGGTTGGGAGCACAGCTGCCTGCCTGGAATTGGGTCAGTGGTGGTGTGACAGTAACTGCACTGGCGTGCGTCCCTTCCAAGTGCGATTCCAGTCAGTGACGTTGATCGGGGGGAACGAACGCTCTTGTTTGGATACCGGCTAGCTAAAGCTTTCTGCTCCCTCTTTTTGACATCTGGCATGAGGACATGTATACAGATGAAGTTGCTAAATTGTGGTGTCTGGGACAAGGTGCTCTTTCGGTTCCAAAAATGAAGAGTAAAGCAACAAAGTTCAAGGTTTATTTCGTCACTTGGACTTTCACTCCAGTGGAAGAGAATGGGATTTCAGCTTTAGAAAATGGAGATCTTCAGTTTGTTATCTATTTTTTTTCATTACTAGTTAACTTCTTAATAGACTGTTAAAATAATCCTCCAAGAAGGAAGTAAAAGTAGGGAGATGCAGGTGCAGTGATCTCCAGTCCATAATGACTGAAAACAGTTAGAAACCTTCATTTTGTGCTTATTTTGGGGGGAGGAGAGATAAGCTCACGTGGTAATCACGTGCTGCCAGGTCATTGCAAGGAATCTGGTGGCAGCAGAAATGCTCTCTTCAAGGTCCTGCTTCTGTGGGAAAACTCACTGGTAGTTCACTTGAGCATCCAATTTTGAGCCTTCACAGAAGAGAGTGGTTCACATATGCTTTGTCCTGAAGCCATTTGGGCCCTGCTATGATCTCACGTAAGGAGATGTTTTCTTCTAGGTTTGTTTTACAAATTTGGAGTTAGGATCATTCATATTGATCTTTCTTTTTCTTTGGTTTCAAGAGCTTCTCTGCGCAGCAGTGAAGATTGTAGCTGTTTCCTTACTAATTTCTTTATGGTACTTTTGTTGATTTAGTCCTCGTAGGTATTTAAGCTGTGAGAACACTGGGAAAGACTTTGAACACCTAATTTTTCTCCAGTTTTGTTCATGTGATTAAACAGAAGTCCTATAGCATTCTCCCAAGAAGGCACTTTTTATGGGTAATTTTACTATCCATGGGCAGCTGGATGCACTTTCGGGTTTTTTTTGCAGCATGATTCTGGCCTTCTCTTAATTGTTTCTATGATGATTTTTGTTTGTTTTTTAATGAAAGAGTGAAAGAGTTCTTGAGCATTCCAACAGGCAGCCTAAGGAAGTGGTTGAGTCTCCATCCCTGGAGGTATTAAAAAGACATGTACATGTGGCAGTTGGGGACATGGTTCAGTGGTAGCACTGTCTTAGTGATTGGACTCAATGATCCTAGAGGTATTTTCTAACCTAAATGATTAAATTACTCTAAGATCTACTACTTCTTGGGTTTGCTTTCCTGTTTGAAGAGCTGAGTGAGGCACGTAAGAACAGTTGTGGCATCAAGGTTTCAAACTTCATCTCTTTTGTCCAACTCCCATGCCAAGGTATACAAGCATGGTGAGACCTTTATTTCCTGAAAGGTAGATTGGTCATACAGGGACAGACATCTGAGATAACTTTTTATTTCTTTGTCCTTACCTGTTTATAACAACAAGGTTTCCAGCAAGAAGGTACTGCCTTTAGCTCAGGATTTAGCAGGGCAAATTACTGCAAGTGAGAAGAGGCAAAGTTTCTTGGAGATGAATGCAGTAAAGGTTGTCCTGCCTGCCCCATAGCATTTGGATATAGCTAATAAGAATGGGAAACACCTTGACCTTAATGTAACCTTCTGCCCCGGTACTTTGCCATCTGTCTCCAGAAGTGCAAGAGGAGATTTGCCTGCTTCTCACAAACTCTCCTACCAAGGTTGTCTCCCAGAAAGGGAAAGAGTAACAGTGTTTTCTTTCAAAACTGTATGTTATAGAATTCAACCAAGACCCTGCTTTTAGCTCCAGTGGAAGTCTAAAACTGGCAAAAACATTTTCCAAGGTTCTTTTTTATATGTGTATAAAGAAACTTAAGGAACCAATAGTTTAGTATGCGGGGCAGAATATTCGTAAATGACAGCAAGGAGAAAGGTTTTCAGGAAGAGCCACAACATCCGATTCACTAGTTAGCGAGCTCCCCCTCTTCAACAGGCGATACAATTTCTTTGTCAGAAATCACCAGCGGAGAGCTCGGAGGAGAGGCAGTGTGCTGTGAAACAGAAACTGAGCCCCTTTCAGCTATGATACCTCCCTGTTGAACATTAATGAACTGTAGCGGCTATATGTAAGGTTTGTGGCTTGTTACATATGCTTAGCTTGTCAAAAGTTTCTCGGGGCATTAAGGGCAGGCAGTGTCATTTGTGCAATAGGCAAAGCTCTCTGCCTGTGGATGTTACAGTGACCTTACTTGAACTGATAAATAGCTGTCTTATCCACGACCTTTAATAGTTGAAATGTATTCACCATTTACAGCCTTTTTATGGTTTGCTTCGAAAGAGATTAGTGGATAAAGTATATATATGTATGTATGCGTTGCTGTGTGATCCTTTCTGGCTTGTAACAGCACATCAAGGAATTCAAGAGTTTAGGAGTAGTAAATCAATCACTTTTCCATGTACTCTCTTCCTTCCTCATGAAAGGTGCTCATTCACAGGGATGCATGGTGTTGTGCAGCCTGTTATCTTAAAGAAAAAAAATTAAACAAAACACAACAGAATGTAATGTTGGGTTTTATCCTCTTAATGTAAAATAAGACTTACTTTTTGTTTGCATTTTCTGGTTTAATTTGAAAGACAGAGATGATACTAAAATATAATGAGGGCAATTCATTTTGTGGTTCACAGTGGCTCGGATTTAGAAGAAAAAAACCCCCACCTTAATCAGCACAGTACTTAAGGGCTCCCTGTAAGAACATTGTGCTTAACCTTCAGCAAATGCTTATGGGCTGCCCTGAATAGTAATGGGTTTAAGCACATGCTTAAGTGTTTTCCTGAAGGAAGACCTAAGCATCTTGGCAAGTGTTACATTACGGCTTCATTTACCTTTATCATAAATCCCAGCATCAGAGGCAAACTTTTCTTTCATCTCTTGGCAGATATTGGGGTGTATAGATTTTTCCACCTCCGTTTGGCCTGCTTTCTATGGCTCTCTTGCTGCAACCTGATCAGTCCAGGCTGACCTTCAGGGGTGCTCCACATGGGCTGGGGAGCCTGCCCCCACGGCTCCGATTGCCCGATCAAAGTCTGCACTTTGCCTTTCATCTGCCGGCTCTCTGCCCTTCCCAGGGTTATTAATTTGAAGAACTTAAAGACGCAACCTTTTTCTGCTGCGCCCGTTCCCGGGGAAGTAGGAATGAGAATTGCGTGTTCTCCAACGGCTTTGCTGTGGTCAGTTTTCCATGGTGGGAGATGGGATTGGAGCGGGTTAAATCTGCACCAGCAAAAAAAAAAAAAAAAAAAAAAAAAAAAAAAAAAAAAAAAAAAAAAAAAAAAAAGAAAGGAAGGAAGAAAAAAACAACAAACCAATCCCATAAAAATGGGGGGGAAGGAGGAAAAAAAAAAGGAAGGAAAAAAAAGTGGGGGAAGAATGAAAATGGGAGAAACAAGAAAAAAGAGGGGGAAGGAAAACGAAATAAAATAGTAGAAAATTGGGGAGAAAAAGGGGGAAGAAAAAAGGAGAAAATAGGAATACAAAGGAAAAAAAGAAAAAAGGGGAAACAAGAATAAAGGAAAACAAAATGAAAAAGGGGGAAAAGGAAAGAAACAAAAATGGAAAAAAATGAAAAAAGAAAAAAGTTTTTAAAAAAAAAGACAAAAATGAAAAAGGGGGGAAAGAGTAAAAAGGGGAAGAAAAAAAAAACGGAAAAGAAAAAAAAAACTGGGGGGGAAGGAGAGGAAAAAAAGGCATAAGGGAAAAAAAAAAAGAAAGGAAAAAAAGGAGAGGGGAGGGAAAAACGAAAAAAAAAAAGGATAAAACCCCTCAAAGCAACCAAACTACACACGCCAAGGCAAACAAAACCCCCAAACTGAAGAGCACCGGGGAGACCCGGGGCCCGCAGGCTGCTCGGGGCTCTCCCGCGGGGGCCCAGCCTGCCGGCAGGGCCGGGCGCGCTCCTCTTGCGTAAGCGGCGGCCCCGCCGTCTTCCCGCTGGCTGCCGTTGCCATGGCGAGATAGCGGGGGAGGATTCCTGGGATCCGTAAACCGGGGGAGAGAGAGAGAGATTACGTCTTAACCCGGCACTCCGCTGCGCCTAACGTGATGTGTCAGGGTCGCCCAGGTGTCCCGGGGGAGGGTGACCTGGCGGGCGGCCCCGCACTGTTGCAGGCATCGTTTTAAATAAAAATAAAGCTGGGGAGGGAGTCGGGGGTGGCTCTCGGGGTAAGAGGATTAGATGCGTTCGCATGGGGGCTAGGATGAGGAAAATATCGCAAGGCTTGAGGGAAGTGGGTTTGAGGAATTGGCCCCAATGGAAATGGGAGGCATTCGTGTTTATGAACATTCCTAGTGCCTGCCGAGAACTGCCTGGCAAGCGCTAGAAGGGGATTCTTTTTATCTTCATCTGCATATTTTATTATCACGGTTAGTTGTCCGTGTTTTATTTGTAAGCTGTGCACAATAAACACATCCTGAGAATCTCTAAACAGCGACTCCAAATATCACCCCTATGCTGATATCGAGCCTAGATCAAATCATTGACAGATGTCTTTTACATGAATGGAAGGAATGACAGAAGAAGGCATCACTGTCTGCCTGGGTAAGTTTTCTTTACGTTATCTTTAATTATTATTAGTGTTTTACACTGTCTCTTCCTTAGTGTCAGAACGGGAGCAGTCAACACTGGTGGGGTCTTGTGCTTTTGATCTTCTTGCTACTCTTTGCCTGCTGGAATTCCTGGAAGCAACTGAGAATTTACTGAGCCCTGTCACTGTGTTCTCTTGTCACTGCAAGGATGTCATTAGTGCAGGCAAAAACTTTATAAATTCTGATATTCGATTTTAAGTTTGGAAAAGATGATGTCTGGTCTAGAAGAGAGTATGAAAAATACTGGGCTGCAAATTACTGTGTTGTAAACATGTTTCTTAAGAGAAAAACTCTGCCTGGGTTAATAATAATATCCATTGCCAGAAAACAGATGTGTGTGGGGAAAAAAAAAATCTTAAGTGAATTTACCATTCTTAAACAGTTTTACAGCAGTGGGATAAGAAATGTGTTAGGATGTAAGAGAGTACACTACTGGGAAATGAGCTTGCATTACACCCACAGAGCATTTACTGTACATTAGTTATAACCCTGTTGTTTTTGTTGCCTGCAATTAATTGAGTAATTTCTTCCATGACTGAAACTGCAGGTTAAGCATGTTTGCTTTGAAAGCCAGTCTTCTGAATCAAGACGGCTTTTACACTTACCGTATTAACAAGCTCTTGCAAAGTGCATTTTGTGCACTATGGTTATGAATTCCTGAAAGGTATTGGTGGGGGTTAATTCACTGTTACATAAACAGCCAGTAACAGCTTTTGATTGTACTGGAATTGCTCTAAAATAGTTATTAGCTTCAAGGCTATAATAATGTTTTGCAAATATTATTTGTATGAAAAAGACAGAAATGGACTATAAGAACTTTAAAGCATTGAATTGAGGACACTGTTGTATACATAGGCAAAGCTGTAGTGTAGCTTTACCAGTGGGTTTTACAGCTGTGACAAGATCTGTATTTCCCAGTTGTACTTAGAACCCAACAAATTCATAACCAAACCAGTTTCCCAGAAGACAAGTATGAAGACATTTGAGAAGGGGATTGTTGCTTTAGTTAGCAAAGCTTACCTGCTCCTTATATGCATGCACGCTGATATTCTAAAGATGCAGAAGTCAGAGCTGGCATCACATGAAGGTGAACAGTACAGTTGTACTGAACCGTGGGAGTGCAGGGGCAGCACGGGGAGCCAGGAGCTGGGGTTTATTGCAGCAAGGTTATACTGCAGTTCAGCTCACTCCAGGTGGTGCAGGAAGGAGCTGAGAACCAGTTTCTGAGTGCCCGAGTCCCTTGGCTGGGAAGCAGGGGTGCCTGGAGGGCAGCAGATATGCCTGCAACCATTTCTGGTGGCTTCTGGTTTTGAAACTTCCCATGGGGAATTTGCTAGATACTTTTGTTGTTGGAGTGTTTATTTAGCAAAGCAGGCCTGGTACCTGTTGAAGCAGCCTGCAGAACTGTCAATGTTGTCTTTGGGTATGAGCAATTGTTGTTTGCTCAGAGAACTGGAAGTCTTTGGATATGAGAACTTTGCTTATTTTTAGACATCCTTGGTTGCCCCTGGACTAACTTACAGCTGTTCTTTTCAGGAACTGGAAATATTGCTTCTGCTGTATTTCTAGAAGTAAAGAGTACAGTGAGGGGTTTTTTTTGTCTAATTCAGCTGTTTTTGCATGTGATTGTTCATATTGACAGCTCCTTTCCAAGAGATGAAGTAACTTATGTTTTGGTTGTTTCAGCTACAGGGATTTGTCTCTTGTTTATTTTAAAATGCAGTATTGTTCTGCATCACCAGCAGTTATTTATTTAGGCTTCTAAGAGAGACACATGACTTGGCATTAGCCTTTCTTTTCCTCCCATCTCCCCTGACCCCAAAGTAGTTCAGCCTGAAACTTGATAAATTAATCACAGTTACCTTGGCAAAATTATAAACAAATGAAGATGGATGAAGCTTGACCTTAAAATTATTTTGGCTGGGCATA